GCGAATTTTGCACAATGATATGTGACTTTTCCGCTCAGTTTTTATCCATTCTACCTGCACACTATGGGAACCGAGAATAATTCGGAACACTTTGTATAACGATATTATAATGATATAAAGATTGACATTATAAAATAATATATTACAAGAATAACCAAATAAATTCTACTTAATATACATTCAATATTTCCACTTCGTATTATATATTTATGTTTTATTATGTCGTACATTCGATGCCATCGAGAGTAACAAAAAGTAATTTCCACGAATAATAAATTATCGACAAGACGCCGAGGGATTACCGAGGATTATTAGAAAAATTCGCGACGGATACGTCGCGGATCAATTTAGTCCTTTTCAGAACCCAGCAGAGGTTGTGCAATGCAACGGGCAGGCCAGCGGTTCGCCGGATATCTATCTGTATGACAATGCGTTTTTCAGGACACCAATTATTTTTAGAAAGGAGCCATAATACTCCCTAATAACAACGTCCCGTGTCGAGGGGTTTTACCGCTTAGGAATTTTTCCACCGAGGAATTCAATAACATTTCAGTGAGATCGAGCGCGAGGGAGAAACAGGACGTACAGCAGTGCACGTTTTAATGCCGGTCTTACGCATGATTTATCGTCACGATCGACGTGCAACCTGAATATCTCGCACAACCAGGTATCTCGCGTTTAAACGGAACAAACAGAAAGTAAAAAGAAGCAACGATTAACACATCAACGACAATGTGTTTGGGAAACAAAACTTCTGGACGGGAAGCAAGCAAATAAGGACGATAAACGAAATTGAAGAAAGAAAAAGAAAACCTTCGGTTTTACGCGAGTCTAAATTAATATCCGAAGTTTACAAATTTACGAACAGCATTTTTACGGCAAATATATAATAAACAAATGCAAATGTATAATAAACAAATAATAAAAAATGAAATTATATAGTAAAATTAAACTATGTATATAAGCGAATTATTTTCCAAAGGTATCCTATGTTCTGACGTGAAGCAAGGAAATAAAGAAAAAAGAAAAAAGCCAAACGTTGACTGATCCATCACGTGTCATTTCCGAGAGAAATGTTCGATTTCACGCACTAATCTAATGAAATGTCAAAAATGTACTTTCCGACCTGCGGACCGTATATTTGCAGGAACGACTTTTCTCACGAAGTTATCAATATTTAACTACAATTTAATGAATAATAATTAATTATAGTTTATTCCGGATTTAATCTGAAACCTTTAGAGATAGGTGGCGATTGCGATTTAATTAAAACTTTTTACATCATAGCGTTGGCCTTCTTTAAAAATAGATTGAACGACAGCTCACCTCCTCGTCCTTCGGCATTTCTTGATGTATTTTAATTAAGACACGCGCAAGGCGGTAGAAAAGAAAGTGCTTGCCAAGGCCTGCGTGACAATAAATCTCGGCGAGATTATTATTAAATCACTCACATTTACCCATAGCCGGCCGATCATAATCGAAGATAGAATCGTCATCATTTAAGCGAAATACGTGAGCGCTAATTAATTGCGAAACGCTTAGCGCAGCTGACCCGAGTGGTGTTAAATGTTCCCCGGTTGCGTAACTGTTTTTATTCTTGCGAAGTACACACGTAAACGTCGTGTAATACCGTGTCGCTGTATTTAACGGAGTGTGTAAGAGAATATTCGAGAAAAACGCGACGAGGGAAATATGTGCTACTTGAAAGTAGCTCGTGGATTTATTATCATATTAATTAGCTATTTGCGAGCGAGCGTATGGTCGTCACGCCAGCGGGTCTCTTACATTCCTCTATCGCTTTTTTTATTATTTACTATGTACATATTTTGATTATAAACGGGGAGAATGTCTCGCGATACAGTCCCGATTAATTTTCGGATCGGCACAAGTGCCCCCTGGAAAACAAACGCGTTTGCTAACCGTGATAGAATGAAAAATGACGATGCTCGCATTAAATCGTATCACGACGACGAATATAATTGTCATTGCAAATGTTGTTGTTTAAAGACGAAATGTTACGAAGAATAAAATACGATATATTAAAGATCTATCTCAATGTCGCATATTATTATAATGTGTTAAATTGTACTTAAAGCACACTCTACTGCAATATTTTGTATTATCATTGAATTGTATTGTAATATATACATTATATATTATATTGCATTTCTATTGTGCATTATATATAGAAATTATAATATATATCTCACATTTCAAAAACAACGCAATATCAATATATAATACTTCATTGAAATTGCCTTGAATTCCATTTTTCCAAGTAGTATAACTCAACAATAAATCAGATGAGCTGAAAATGTTTGATTTATTTCTAAATATTCTTAAATATCGACTTTCTTCTTGAGTCGTGTTCTACGAATAAAAGAAGAATCTGCTAATGCAAACTTTAATATATGAAAAGTGGACTTGTTAGGAAAATGAAAAAAACAATGACGTTATCTAATTCTAATTATCATTTCTAGTTATGCGTTAAAAATACCTGGATATTTAATTTATAATAAAGTATTAATTTTACAACTTACATTTATCTTGATATTTTATAGATATAGACCTATGATAAAGTATATTGTACACTTTTGTAATTCTATATTTTTCCGCGTTTATCAAATGTGCTAATTTAATAGCGAATTTATCGATAAAAAGTTATTAAACAGGTTGTTGGGCTTTATTCTTATCTTGTTAATGCCATTAGATTCTACGTGATTTGTTAAGGCTAATTAGTTTCTCATTTCTTTTCATTTTTTGGTTGCTTTTCAGCAAGAGACAAGTGACACAATGTTAGCTTGACGAAACACCGAAGCACCTTATTTCATTGAAAAGGAAATATATTCAGAAGGTGACAATATACTTTATACAATTGAGTAGTAAAATTGAGTAATTTGTGAATAGTAATTTATTTTTAATAATAAAAGTTTGACATTAATTTTTAAGAGATTTTTTTTCTTACAGATTTACATAATATTTATCGTGATAATAACAATTTTGAAGTAGCAAAAATGACTTCTTTTATTTTAGAACTTCAACTGAAATCTTCAGTCATATAAAAACTGATAAGAAAACATGAATCATGTTTAACTATGAAGCGCAAACTGTCGTGAATCAAATATGTTCCAAAAAACAGTTTTATACGGCACTTTAATGTCTGACACTACGTCTAAACAACCTTGAGAAATAATATAGAAAATTTTTTTAGCAGGGTTGATTTTCTTATTAGAGAAAAAATTACATATAGCCATTAGGAATGATGCCTATTCGGTTTATAATGGGAAAATTCGGCTAACGGGCTGCCTAACGCCATCTACCGGTATCATGAGAACACTCGTTGCACACTCTTAACAGGTTTGAGTTTTTACTAAGGGTTCGAGTTTCGGCTAAATGACTCACTACATTTGGAATAGTTACATTTGATAAATTTACATTTTATAAGACAAGTCTTCGTTATCAAACTGCTATTATTTTCGCCAAAAAAGCAGGGAAGTAGTACTTGAATTTAAATTTCTGTGTTAGTTCTAATATTAACTTTCTAATCTATCGGATAAAGTACGTTGTATGGAATATAAATTCATATAGATGGTTAAATACTTATTGCGATAAAAGACACTGTCCATATATAATTATATATGAATTTTGCCCATACATGTGGTCACATACATGATTATATATATATATTATATTAATACAAAAAAAATGATGGTATTAATACAAAAAAAATGATGGTATGTTATTTAACTAAATGTCGATATTATGCGATGATCATTATACATTTTTTATAGACATTACGGTAAATACTTATCATGCTCGAACAATAGCGACTTGCTCTTAATTACCTCTTTTCCCGTTCTTGTTGAATAAAGAACTGATAAGTTTTGATAGTAAAATATGAAATGACATCCGTTATCCATTTGATATAATATTCAAAAAATGCTTAAACAAATTCATAAAAGTTATAAACAATTAGAAATTACATGTACTTCTCAATCAGTTACGACAATAATGTTAACATATTTCGATTCCTTATTCAATTTCGAATAAATGAGTGAAAAAAAAAGTTGGTAACTCGCAATAGGTAAATAACAACGTTCATTTGTTTACATCGACGCGCAGCGGCGCGAACTGGACGCGGCGCGCTGTTAGTAAATCATTTGCGTGTTTTTTGATGTAAATGGGAAAATTTTGATAATATTATTTTATTATCTTATTAAAACAAAACAGTTCTATGTAGCATGTTATTTGTTTGAGTACAGAATAATATATGCTTTAGGGGAATTTAATATCCCAAAGGGCGCTGAAGTTATTACACCAATGTTAGCTTTGAACCAAAACGAAAAATATTTGCCAAATGCGTTGAAATTCGATCCAGATAAATTTCTCCCAGAGAACAAGTAGGACCGTTACCTTTATTGTTATACCGTTTTACCGTTTAGTAATGGTCGAAGGAATTGTATAGGTGCGTATAAAGAAATTGTAATATATTATGACGAAATATGGAATTAATCGATAAAATTGCAGGTATGAAGTATGCTATGATTTCGATGAAAGTTTTCCTAGCAACTCTGGTTGAAGTAGATGGTTGAAGTAGATGAAATAAAATTGAAGCTGAATATTACATTAGCTTCTATAGTCGCATTAAAAGTTAAAATTAAAAAGAGGAATTTATATTGAAAGTATGCCGGTGGAACGAATGGCGGTATTTTTTATTGATGCAACTGTTAATATTTGATTTACATTTGAATTTATTCACAGTATATAATAATTAGGTAAAGGATTATTTGTTGTTATCAAAATAAAACAAAATATTAAAATTAAACATTATGAAAAGAATGCGACTAAATCCAACCAAAATTTTTCCGAACAAAAGTTTTGAATCCTATTTCGACTGAAAATAAAGATCATGATATATCAATATTAACATCTTATACAGAAGAATTAAATGATATAAAATAATTAATAATTAAATAATACAATTAATAACAGAAGGACGGAAGAGTTTAATCATAATTATTTATTTCAGACGATATATCAGACAACATATCAGACGACGTGTCAGACGACGTATCAGATGGCGATGAAACACTCAAATTTTTGAAAACAGTTAAATGATGATTACGATAAGACACACCGTCGTTCTCAAGATCTGTACAGGGCCTGATGGAACAAAATTTATTTTTTTCGTGATATGCAATATTTAAAGGTGAACCCAGAACTTCGAATAGCTTATTTATGTTCTCTTCAACTTTAAGTTTAGATTTGTCGGTTAAAAGCAACGGACAATTTTGATCCCGTAATTTTAAAATCAACTCGGACGATGGTTCCCAGTCATTAAAATCTACTTGAAACTCTATAATTACCTTTGGTTTTATATACATATCACTGTTAACATAATCACAGTACGATGTACGATGGCATTCGAAATTAAACTTCCTCTGCGTAGGCCTGCATTTAATACAAGTTTCTATATTTTTACGATCGTCTTGTAATTGCAATCCTATTAGTATAATTCTTAATTGCGTTTGCCAACGTAAACGATGCAGAAAAAGTCCCCAAGAGGGTACATATGCTTTATCAACAATGTTTGCAGCTACTATATAAACAATATAGCAAAAATGTTCACCTTGGGGATTTAAAAGAAGTACATTTTTCATCCCATAATACAGTGTCAGTGGTCCTGATATATAATCAGTGTAGCAATACAGTGTGACAGAGTCCAAAAATTTGAAATTATGTAGTTTAAGGAATGATGACATATCAACAGAAGGTTTAAAGTACACTGGAGGGTTGATGAAATGATGACCTAATAATGTTGAACCAAATTGTAGTTTGCTATCAACTTCAAGACATAACTTCAGCTTCTCGCAATCAAAATTACCATCTCTTTTCACAGTGTCTGCATGATCAAAACAATAGTTGACGGAATAACATCTTCTACAAGTATAAAGATTCTGTTGCTCGTGACATATACGACAAGCTTTTATGAACATGATCATCTGCTTCATATGGCTCTAGATCACATGACAACTCTGCCTTGATTAAATGCACAAATTCTTTCCTCGACTTGACCCATTCCTCCAGGTTGAAATACCCACGGAGCCAGATGTGTTGCTCGCTAAGTTTCTTTATAACAGCGCGCAACTGCGCATGATGCATCAGTTTGTGCCTCTAGCTGCGGTAACTTATCATGCAGCATTGTTCACAAATTTCCTAATTATCAGTATTTTTAATCTTGCAAACATGACAAATATTCGGATTAAAGAACTTGTTATATTCGACAGGCATATATATCTCTCGAAGTAATGCACACATTCCGAAACTTTGGTGTAATGGATAATTGCTGATATCTGTTATCTGTAATATTACTTCAGAAGTAATGTGTAGTAATTTTACACCTAGCAGATATGTTGCCCACTACTCGGTTTGTATATCTACTTGACGACCGTTCGAAGGACACTAAGAAGATATTGTTATATCCGAGGTACTCCGAACACCATTTCCCCTGTTCTTCCCCCTTCATTCTCCTTTCTCAGCGCTGCTCCCTTACCTCGGTGGTCGCCTGCTGATCTCACGCCGGCCCAATTTCTACGCTTGAAATCAATTATATTATTAGTTTATAGCCATAATCATATCGCATTTTTAATTATCGCGTAGTTGTAGAAATGTAACAGTTGGTGCGTTTTTGCGCTCCAATCAGCAGTATAATAATTATTCTTTAGAAATTAATCTTACCGTAAATTGTGACTGTCTGGCTGTATAAAACAATGCACACGACCGATCGTGGTCAGGGCGCCTTTATTTGCAGTCGTGTCGGTCAGTAGATTAACATCTAACCGTTTTAGAGGCAAATGATCCTTTATTTAAATAATTCGCACTTTCTACTCACCCTCAAAAGCCTCATCTTCGGGAACCTAACCCCATCTGTCACACATAACCTAGTCTCTAGACTCTGGTGCGGCTTGGGTACAAAAGCGCCGCGTCGCGGCCGATCATCGAAATAAGCAGTATAGAGATTGATGAATACCCCGGCCGCCGATAATTTCTTTTCTTTGTGTGTACACGCAATACTTTTTTTAAAAAACCAAAGTTATAACTTTTGAGAACGTCATATATCGTGTTTCGAAACTTTTAGTTCAAGAATCCAATCGGTTCTTTTCTTATTTCAGATTCACCGTTTGGCCGAAAAGTTGTCAATGTGATATATCCGTTTTCTTTTTGAATGGTCTTTCATTAACAACTAATAACTTTGTAATAAATAAAGATACAATAGACTCTTCCTTACGAAAATATTCGGGGAATATTATATTATTCATTGCATAAGATGGCTTTTCTTTAACTCATCAGAGTTTTCTAAAAGAAATTGTTGGAAATACCTCTTTCTGAGACGTTTATATCGGTCCGATTTCTTAATTGGATGTAGCGTGATGTTTTGAAACGTTTAAATGATCTTACTTCTAGTGTGATACGGGTTTTTAAATTTCCCAAAATTCAACTTGGTTTTATATCTGCAACTGTTCGGACGATAACAAGATAAAAAAAAACTGTTTCCGCCCGGGATCGAACCGGGGACCTTCCGCGTGTTAGGCGGATGTGATAACCACTACACCACGGAAACTAGTCGAAAGATCCTTCATATTACGCTGTTATCACCAGATTCAAATCTCTAAATTATTTACATAACATATAATTTACGTAATATATAACTTATTTACTTTACACTATTATTCAATGTCCGTTGCTGACAAATGACACTAAAATATATTGTGGACATCCGGAATGCGTAGCAACAAAAAATAATTCATATAACTTACAGCACGTATTTAGTGTTACAATAATATCGTGGTATCTTCTTAATTTTCTTTTTAATGTGCGATTATTCGGAGCTAAAAAAATTATCATAGAAAAAGTAAAAAGTACATCTCAGTATTTGAAGGAGGAGTTTTCTAGAAATTCGAATGTCTGTGGGAAATTAACGCAAAGCCGGTAAAATCATACGAGCGTTCTATTATGAATTTTTCGCACGAAGAATCGTTGCATGAAGAGTCGATCGTGGGAGATGTGTGTTTCAATCGGCCGATTATTTATCAGTCTTTAATTTATCAGCGATTGAAATCTGATCTTCGTACCAGGAAAACCATTCGTATCGCGATTACTCCGTTCTATAAAAATATTATGAACGTCGTTTCACGTATCCGCATTGGAGATAAACGACAATTGAATTAGGCTGAAAGACTCCGCCGTCGCTCTCACCGGGCGATCTCGTCATCGATCGCCGATTGCAATTCACTTTACTTTCGCGCGGGACAAATATTATCCCGCTATAGATTTCACACACACGTGCAATACGCGCGACGTGGGATTATTTTTAACAACGGCGATCTCGAAATTTTTCCACGCGTCACGTGACGGTTCGNGGGGAGGATTGCCGCGCGCGGAAATAAAATGAAACGAAGTTTCGAACTCGTTGCCAAGAGGACGATAGAAGGAATGGGATTTACGATGGTCGAAATATATGAATTAATTCTTGCGTATCTTATCGTAACGAAGTTTGACGAAGCAGTCGAACGGATCGATTTCGAAATTTGTCTTTTCGTGAACTATCGAAGCGCAAACGAGAACGAGAACGCGTAATCGTAGCCGATGCCGATAACACGACAGTGTGTGCACATATATAAATGTATATTTATGCCATTAGATAGACGCAGTAAAGCACACGCATTGACGACTGTGCTGATATAGCTTCGTAGAAGCTAAAATCTATTTAATAACATATGCACAGATACTATACGTCTATGTTTACACGATCGGTATGGAGCGAGTTTGATGTTATAAAACTTTATAACTCAAGTATGGACGTCGTCACGTCCCTCGTCACTCTGCGTCAACGCGACGAATGTAGGGCAGTAGCGACAGAGTTGAAGAAAATTCATCGATTTTTTGCTATTCACGCAAATACAAGTTACAAATGTTATTAAACCAGTTTGACAATAATACCGTCGAGCGGTATCGCCGAAGAGATGTTATTCGTCGGTCGAATTGCGCCGAAACGAAAATACATTCCGGCGACGTTCTTAAACGTGCCAGCTGTTTCTGCGCAAGCGCGTTTTGAACGCGTCGATCTCAGTGAAGTACACGATTCGAACGGAACAAGTTCACTTTCCTCCCCGACCGTTCTTAATATAGTTTTCAAGTTTTCGAAGAAACCCCCAATTTTTTTCCCAATTTTTCCGCGGGTTTTTTCTTCGTTTCATATTTTCTTTACGGTAAAAATAATGCGATGGGTTTTAATCCGAACACGCGTAAATTTGTCTAAACGAATTTGTATATTTTAGGATAGAAATCGAAGAAATTTGCGGAAAAATTGAGGAAAAATGGTTTTTCCGGAAATTTTGAAATTGTAGTTTTTAAAAGTTTCTTTCTCTCTCTCTCTCTCTCCCTCTCATTTAAAACTTTGAATTCAAATTCAGACCTTTTATTTCAAATTTCTTGAACATATGCAACTTCTTCATATGTAATATATGAATATATTTTTTATACACAAATTCCCTTTCTCTTTTATTTCACGAAATTTCAAACCGGTATAAAATTCCACGTGAATAAATTAGTCGCCAAATAAAATTGAAATACCCAGATTTGAGTTTTCGAATAGAATTCATTTGCGCTTTCGCATTATTGCTCTTCACTTGGAATTCCTTAATTTAGGTTTCTAAAAGTGAAAGATTCTTAACACGTTGACTGCCGCGTTGATTTCTGTCGATTGCTCGAAAGATCATCTGACGATTAAATTACCAAAGATACAATAGGTCTGTTACGTTTTCGCCGCACCGCTGAACCAGTGCAGTAAGTTGATGTGAGAAAACATATACTTATCTCGCTTCAACTTATTGCACTGGTTTAGCGGTGCAGCGAAAACGAACAGACCTGATACGTCGGTGCGATCGCACGAGCGCGCATGCGCGGAGTGCCGGGCGCATATAGCAACACACGTTTCTGGTGGTAACGGCGGACGTCGTCGACGAGTCATCGTTAGTGCCGATGAGATTGTCGGTGTGTCGGTCGTTCTTGTAGTTGCCGCTGTTTTCCACTAACCGTGCGCGCAGAAGAATCATCCAATATCTTTTCAGGCGTCGAGTCGTCGCGTGTCATCGTTGTATCGAGCGAGTACTCGGCAAGCGAATCGAGCAATCGCGAGAACACGATGAAGGAGCTTCTGCTCGCGCTCAGCGCGCTTCTGGCTGGTGAGTTGCTTTTCGTGACACAACTGATACGTCGATAATCATCGCGGTCGGATGTTCCCTTTGTTCGGCTGCGATGATCTTGTTTCGCTCGGCGATACGTCAATCTGCGTGTGTATTCTACGTAGACAACGTTCTTTCCTTTGTTTTTTTTTTTATTTTTTTTCTTTTTATTGCGCACTTCCTGCCATAACGTTCGCATTGGCAGCCGTGCGCGCGCACGCGTGTTCTTATTTCATTTTTTCCTATCTCTGTTTTATAAACACGATATTGCCGGAGCTAAACCGAGCGATAACATTTGCATGTGTGTAATATTTGTACGGACTCGGACTTCATCGATCTTCCTCTTCCTCCTCCTCGTCTCTAATTACGCGATGTAACCCCGGATCGCGTTCTTCCGTCTCTTTTGTTCACTCGCTCGCTCGCTTGCTCTCCTCTTCCGTCGTGCTGCGTGATGTATCGTCTCTCTCTCTCTATCTCTTGCGTTGCCGGCTAATCACGTTTCCATTACTCACTGCGACGGAATTCTAGTTCCTAGGACGAATAAGGTGATTCAGTCGATTGGAGAGTACAAATTGGAGGGTTCGATTTAGGTTAAATATTATTGTGAAAATATGCGGTCGTGTTAATAACGTCGCGATGACGTCGCGCGTACTTATCACTTAGCGCGATAATCGTGTTTTCTCGGAGAAACATTCCGTTTCGGCATGTCTTACATTATCAAGTTACTCATGCATTCCACGGATACAGTGATAGTGTATCACCATATGACGAGAGACGTCGAAGAGACGTTTGATTCTTTTGTATTTTACATGTCCTCTAGCTGACTAAGAGTCATCAATGGTCCATCTTGTGAAATTTTAGTTAACTTATAGTAAACTTATAGTTAAATTATAGTAAACAATAAACATTAAAAGAAAACGTTTCTGTACTTATATCTCATGCTATTTTTCTACACACACACACACACACACACACATCTTTATCATAAATATGCCTTGAAGTTTGATCATCTGTTCAGATTTACTCTAGATCTATTCTTTATAGCTGTACTGTATTGAGTTGTATTGTCTATATTTAAAATTAAATAGATACATATGTGACATTCCATGAAAGAAAGAAGAGAATAAGAAGATTGTGTTAATTCAGAAAGTATAGCGCTATATAGAATACTTGCACAGAGAATATATTTTTATTGCAAAGCTCTAAAAGTTGTTAGTCCTTATCTACAATAAATGTTTAAGCTTCAAGCGTTAAGAAATTGAGCAATCAATCGAATGTGAGGAGAATAATCGATGGTGATTGTTCAATTTCTTAAAGTTTAGGGCTTAAAGAACCTATTGTAGACTGGGACTTATCAAGAAAAAGAAACAAAAGATAACATGTATTATGATATGAAACGAGTTCATTCTAATTCAATTTAAGTGATACAAGTTAAAAAATCATATAAAACTGTCACAATATGGAATATGTTGATTGCATTATAAATTACTATTGCTATTGTGGGAGGCTGATGATCAGAAGAATTATAATTATATAATCAAAAGAATATTATTATGCACAACACGCTTTACAACTCTAAATTTTTATGATATATATATATATAGCTGAACATTATGGAAATATACTTTGTTTATTTTCAGTATCTACAGCTAGTGTAATTATAACAGCTGAACAACAAGATCATCGGCCTAATTTGGGCACAGAGGAGTGCACATGGGGTCCAACTTATTGGTGCGAGAATCTAAAGTAAGTTAAGTTATTATTTCGTAATGTAAGTTATATTTGTATTGTATTGTAAGTTATATTGAAAGAAACCGAGCAAAGAATTGAAATTGGCTTTCAATATTAATATTAATATATCCAGTGATACCTGGGTCTAGCTTTTGAATTTGAAAAATACACCTCATTACATATTTATAATATATGAGACTACCGAAATGTAAATTGCGAAGTTTACATGGCGCAATATCAAACGGGTTTGGTTAAATTCCAATAGCATTATTAGTTATAATGTTGATCGTGAATATTAATAACAGAACGGCCAAGGGATGCAACGCTGTCAAACATTGCGTCGAACGATATTGGGAAAAGATGGAAGTCCCGGAGGATACCGACAACGTGTGCGGGATTTGCAAAGAAATGGTGCAACAAGCGCGGGATCAGTTAGAGAGTAATCAGACTCAGCAAGACTTGAAGGATGTTTTCGAGGGCAGTTGTAAACTGATTCACATCAAACCGATTGTCGACGAATGCATCAAGATCGTGGATGAATTCGTTCCTGAACTTGTGGAGACGCTAGCGTCTCAGATGAATCCGTCTGTAGTTTGTTCCGTCGCGGGTCTCTGCAACAACGCGCACATCGACAAATTGCTCGCGGAACATCAGGCGATGCTATCGAAGGTAATGATTGATTACCTAAAGATTACCAAGTGCGCATTCCTTAAAAGTCCTCCCTCCTTCTAATATCGCAACAATACATTCATGCTATATTTAATATTGTCTCTGTATAATTGATAATTACGACTGTTGATCAAAGAATATGTGTTTTATTTTTTAGAAGGACACAACCAAGTCGATTTTATTGAAGAATGATGAACTTGAACCAGATGAATGTACTAAATGTTACACGATAACGAAGCATATGGAAAATAAAATGCAACATACGTCACGAGACACGATGTTTTTGCGGATGTTACACATTTGCGGCGAATTTGATTCTTTTTCGGACGCCTGTGCTAATATCATCATATCGAATTTTGACAACATTTACGAACATATACGGAAGAATTTTAACGCAGACAACATATGTCATCTATCAGGACAATGCAGCGGCAAATATCACAAACACGAGGATGATACTGATGCGGTATTTTAAGTTTTAATTTTAATTTTCTATCGAGCTGAAAATGATCAGGTTGAAATATGTGCTATGATAATTATAGATTCCAAAAGTAGAGATAACACCGTTGTCGAGTGTAGGCATGGTAGAAGTTGACGATGACCTACCATGCAAGCTGTGCGAGCAACTTGTGGGTCACCTGAAGGATCTTCTGGTTGCGAATACGACGGAGATAGAATTTAAACATGTTCTCTTGGGCCTTTGCAGGCAGACAAAATCTTTTGCCGACGAGGTTTGTGATTTCAACAAGAATCATACATCATGTATTACATCTATGTATGCAAGTCGTAACAAAGAATTATTTCTTTTTATAGTGTGGGGCCATAGTCAGTCAGTATTACTCAGAAATTTACGAGTATCTTACTAAAGGACTAAATAGCAACATTATCTGTCATATGACCGGAGTTTGTCCTTCTCCAGACAAAATGCCGGTGAGGATATATTTTATTGAATTTCCTAAATAATACAATACGCGTCTTTTACGGGTAGTAATGGTAGAAGTCGAATAAATTTCATACATTGTATCCTGTGATTGCAGGGACCAATTTGGCCTCTGGTCTCAGAAGAATCCGCACGAATAGGATTAAATATAATGAATAATAATCAACATGAGAGGGAAGTTGCTATTGGTCATGAACGCCCGAAATCGGAGGCCGAAGAGATGCAATTGCCACTTGAGAGACTAATGCCATTTCCTCTGCTGCAACCTGAAAGTATAGAAGGAAAGGAAGCGTGTGCATTGTGCGAATATTTGTTGCACTATATACAAGATACTATTTCGAGTCCTACCAATGAGGTAATATAATTTAAATAAAGAATATTTAAAAATTAATTATAGAAAGTTATAATAATTAAAATATAAAATAAAATTAATAGGATTAAATGAATTAAAAATACATTTGTAATAAGGACAAAATTAATTCAAAATGAAATATTTATATTTTCCAACGATATATACAGAGCGGTCCATTTTAAATTATCTATATTTTGCCAAAAGCATTAATTTTACAAAAAAAAAGTTCTAGACCAAAGGTACAGGGTTTCATAAAAAGGGGACATAAAATGGATAGTAATATTATTATTATTGTCATTAAAATATTTTTTCTAAAAGTTTGACTTTAATTTTTTATTTTAATGACAATAATGGTTCTATTTTGTGCTTTCCCTGAAACTGCAACTTTTATTTCGAACTTTTTTTTTTCGTAAAATCAACATCTTCGACAAAATAAAAACGGATTATTTAAAATAGACCTCCCTCCATATAAGTACATATAAAGAAATGTACTTACAAATGTATATATTAAATTTTCAGGAGAAGGTGAAACAAGTCCTTGGAAAAATATGCCGAAAGTTACCTAGCATTGGGAACAAGTGCCAAGAATTTGTAGATACTTACGGAGACGCGATTGTGGCCATACTAGTTCAAGAAATCGATCCTGCACAGGTAAATGCATTTTTCACATTTGAATATAAAGTCGATGAAACGTAATTTAACTGTACGATCATTTAAGGTATGCCCAATGTTACACGTTTGCCCGTCGAGAGAATTATTGCAAATGTGGGCGCAGATCCCTAAGGGATTCCTCCTTCGCGAGAAGGTAGAGGATAAACCAAGTTGTCCGCTTTGTCTACTGGCAGTGACGCAAATTTACAATGCCATCAAGGATAACAAAACCGAGGTACTAATCTACTGCTGATCATGTTTGTGACAATTCAAGTGCGTGCCTGTACAATTCGTTCATATGTGGTGCTTGCGTTACAGGCTACTATCGAGGCTGAATTGGATAAACTGTGTAAGCACTTACCAAACAGTCTGACTGACCAGTGCTACGATTTCGTGAAATCATACAGCAAGGAACTCGTAGATATGTTGCTCGCAGATTTGACACCTCAAGAAGTATGTGTCTACCTTAAATTGTGTGATGCGACCAAAGACGCTGGTCCAAAGCCAGTTTCTCTCATGGAGAACGATGGGGAGATTCGTGAGTCATTCTCATCAAGTTTTCATGAACAACGCGTAGTGCAACACGACGCCACACCGATAAATCAGCTATGAAGATATTTTTGTGAGAAATGATTTTATTTTTTTTTTACATTTCAGTAACTAATGAGATACCCGACTATCCGCTAACCCTCGCAAAACCAAAGAATGTAATAGATAACGGATTGTGCGTAGTTTGTGAGTACGCAATGCAATATATTGATCAAGTGATTGGTAAGGAAAAGAATCGAGAAAAAATCGAGAAGATGGTGCATGGTGTATGCAATCACTTGCCAAAGTCGCTTGCCTCGGAGTGCAATCAGTTTGTGGATAAGTACGCTGACGTTGTGATAACTATCCTCTCACAGGATGTCAGCCCTAAAGAAGTCTGTGTCATGATTGGCCTTTGTAAGAACAGCTTGCCGCATGTTAGAGGTATATTGACTTTAAGAAGTATCCGATTATATAATTAATATATAATTACTATTATATATGACCGATACCGTATAATTAATGCTATAACATTTATACAATTGCTACTATAATATTATAATATATAATTAATATACAATTAACATATCTGCACGTGACGCGAATAAAGTTGTTTTCACTTGAGAATCAGGATGATATATTTAGTGTTTGCTATGTGTCCAGAATATGGCCGCAAATATATAAAGAGCGTAAACAATTATAAGGAAAATCAATGTACAAGGATATGTATATACATAGAGTGAGAGAATCAGAAAATGGTTATCGAATCTCTTACCCTCTTTTCTACCCTTTTCTACCTAGAATATTCGCTCGCGCTGCCAGCATAACAAACGACTGACCGATCTCTTACGAGAGATCGCCGACATCACACATGTATAATGGCGATAATTTTTCATTCCACACCCGCGAAAATAATTAAGTCTGTTTGTACATTATTACATAAAGAAATGCCTGACCCGTTCATCTGTTTTCGCAGAATCTATAGTGGGATGTGCTCTATGTCGAGCGGTTGTATCGCAGATTGATCATGACTTGGGCGACCCAAAGGTCGACGCTAAAATCGAGGATGCCGTTCTCAATGTGTGCAAACGCCTACTACCGCACCAGTACTCTATGGTAATACATTGTCATTTCGTGATTTTCACCGAAAAGCCATCGTTTCGTAAGAACTTGTCTCGAGTTAAACTTCAAATTTGTGCAGTGTAACACGATGGTGAAAACTTATGGACCGAGTATGATCAATATGCTGAAGAACCATGTAGACAGTGAGGAGATATGCGACAAGATCGCTTTGTGCATTAGGGATGAGTACGTCGTGGCGTCGTTAAATGGTAATTCACGCGTGTTACGATCGATCGATGGGCTCAAAATGTGTACATGGGGCAAAACATTCATATGCTCAAACGAGGATGTAGCTAAGCTTTGTAACGTAAGTGCATCAATGCACAAGATTTCATTAGAGATCGATCGATCGATCAATCAATCAACCAATGAATAAATCATTCAGCGGGATCGCGCTAATTTTGAATTATTCCTTTCTTTTCTTTTTAATCAGGTTATGAAGCAGTGCGAAATTTATCTTAAGAGCGACGAGGTCGCGTAAATCGCATGTGTCGCGCGAGTGAAAACAGCTGTAAATCGGAAGAGAAGCCATCAACAGTGAGAACGGAGAATGACGTACTGTTCCCAACTGGAAGTTGGGTATTTTATTGAAGATTCTAACCGTAGCGACTAGATCGTATCTCACGTTATATCATTATAAGGGTGATTTGTATAATCCTTTGTTGTATCAGAGTAACATCGACTTGTGTCGACGCATTAAATGTCGCGCAGTCTTCCTCGCAGCAAATATTGCGCTTGGTACGCATACGTTTAAATTGACGCTACACAAAGTTTTTAATTATTATTAGCATTCTGCAGGAAATACCTTTTCTTCCACTATGTAAAATAGGAGAAAGAGACAACATCGCAATATTAAGAAGACATTAAAATTGTATATATAGTTTTCTCTTTTTCTTCAAATATATTCCAGGAATAGAGATCTGTTGTATCATCTCGAGTTCAACTGTGATAATGGTATAATAAAGAATATAAAAACTACCGCTGTAATCGCTTTGTGTAAATTGTATAATCCTAAATATATGATTAAAAAGCAATTTGTATTTGTTTAATAAAAATATTTTCGAAGTATTCTAAGTAGAAGAGACACTAGAATCATTTCTCTGATTTTTTCACTCTATTTATATACGTATTTGTATATATTAACACATATTTATTTATTCCTTTATGTTTTACATTTTATCGATATTTTATAAATAACATTACAGACACATAGCGAATGCTAAATAATATGTGTATTCTATGCCATATGAGAAGAAAGATAATATGATCAAGCAAATGTTTTAATAGGAACGTAATATTGTTTGTTTTTTCGCCATCCAAGCTTATCTGTGACATTTGCCTTAACGATGTTCGTAGTCCGTTTAATCACCGAATTCAAATCAGAGTATCAACATTTCCCGAAATCTACATATATGAATATTATACTAATATCTTCCAAACAGTCGCCGAACACATCTACGTTGCGCATATATTATTCTTTTACATTCGTTTGATGCATTAATATTGAATTACTATTCAGAAAAAAAGGAACTTGAAACGTCTGTTGGACAGACATTATTATTATGTGAATAATAGCGAAAACAATGGGAAATATAATGACTTATTTTTAATTAAATTACGTAGTTAAAAATGGATGATAATGCGGGTATATTCACAATTTATCGCAAGTATGTGCACTACTAGATTTACTTTTACAACCTGTTTGGTACGAAGTAAATGAATATAAATCTCTCAGATCATACGGAGACGATGAAAATGATCTGTTTTATCGTAATCGTATTTTAATCATCTATCGGAACTTATCCGATCTTACATACATGTAGTAGAGTATAGCGAATATCCATTCCAATCTTGGAGCAAGATTGGTAGTTGGTCCCATCTCTGAAAATATTGCACGCAAGTAAGCTACGCTGACTCTTTTGGAAAATGATTTGTGAATGTTTTAATAAAACATGATTTGAAAAAAAAAAAAGAAAAACATTAATGCAAGTATCATTCCTTTTTCCTGAGAGAGAATTATTATTGCTTCAACATGTATCGAGTAGAATGATAACGGTAGCATAATCTTGTACTTATTTGTTATCGCGTGAAATACAATATAACCGAATACTTGGTGTTCTACTCTCTCCTATTTTTATTCACATTTATAAATGTGAATAATAATATATGCGCAACGTAGATGTGTTCGGCGACTGTTTGGAAGATATTAGTATAATATTCATATATGTAGATTTCGGGATAGATTTCGGGTTTTATAAACATTTCGTTTTTCATTTTACGGAACGAGTTTACCTATACGGCACATAAACGTTGAGTAAACTTGTCTCGGAAACTTTGCATCGGTTATAAGGTTTATACCTGCGATGTGAAAACCTAGAATGTGAACTACCCCACCAGCGAGCTCGCTGCTACTACCGTATGCAGTTAGGTATGTGTAGGTATGTAGTAAGTATTTGTGTAATCTTGAAGCAGAACATGTAGATAAATGACAAAATTATAGTATCGACGAATCTTCTCTATGGGTAATGGGTAGTGTTGAGTCCTTTCCCTGCTGTGTCTACGAGTGAGTTGAGAGCAATGGTTTCTGTCCACAGGACGCGGCAGCGCTTGCCGCGCGGGAAGAAGCGACGCGGTAGCCAATCAACGTTCTTCCACGAGAGCTAAGAGTTTACTATCCGTTGAATAGGATTTCTGAACGTACTGACTGAGGTTAGAATGGCATGGGAGGGTCCTGTTAAGCCCGTCTCACACTATTGATCAAGATTGAGATTGGATTGAAATTTGACCAATCAGAGCAAGTTTAACTAATCTCAAGTTTGTTGCGATTAAATGTCCTATTAAAAGTTCTATTAACTCAAATTTAGTTTAACCTGCTCTGATTGGTCAAATTTCAATCCAATCTCAATTCTAATCCATAGTGTGACACGGGTTTTAGTTCACTGTGCGATAGCACACATCCACTCATATCGGCCGATGCCTGAGGTCTTTCCGCTGAATCGTTGATTAGAAAATTTTATATAAAATTAGCCAATCACCTATGTGGGTATCGGAGCCCGCCCGAACGGCATTATATTGACCAATCAGGACAGAAAGAACTGAGATTTCTTTAGCATGATTGGTCAGCATGATTAAACGCCACTTTACCATCAGTGTGTATTCCCGAACGCTGCTCCGAACGCATCGAATGGAGTATCTCGTGGTGATCTAACGGCACGACCGCCATATTAGTGCATCGATCCGTTTTGTCGTTTCGTGTACGACTGTTATCATTTCGTGGACGACTGTTACGAAAGTTCGGAGATACTGTTTGAGTATTACTGTGTATTGAGAGTTGGCGGCCGTAATGCAATACGTTTGTTTCTCGTGGTAGAGAACAAATTGTCGTCTGGCGCGCCGCCGACTGGATATATTTCACTGACTTCCGGACCCTAACACGCTATCTGAATGATGTACACAGTAAGGAGGCCTTAGTATATCATTTTGCTATCAATTCATCACAATTTTTATGTTCCAATAACTTCCATTCTGTACTTCTGTTGAAATAAATATATAATTAATCTCCCGGTAAAAATAATTAAATCAGTTATTAAAATGTTTTTTTGCAACAATTTATGAAATAGTGCAGAAAAATATGATATATTTGCAACATCTTGTTACACAAAAGTATATCCCAATAATTATCAAACACTATGCGTTCGAACCACAGCAAAGTACATGCCGCAGGGAACGTAGTATGAGTAAAAGGTCATGTGATTTCTCTTTTTCTAAGTAGATGACATAATCTTCAATAAATTTAAGACAAGTTTCTTGTCTCAAATAACTTTCGTGACTCCAATAATGGAACAAGCCTTTTAAAGATATAGATGGATAACAAAAGTATCTTTTTGACTAACTTAAGCAATTTTTTCTAATTCAAGGATTAATTGGAAAAATTATAATTTTGTAGTGACCAAGTGAAATTTTCACTGCATTATATTTTTAATTACTCTGTAATTTTTCAGGGGACAACCGCGTCGCAGGATACAAGATTCAGCGACAAGGAGAAAAAGCTTCTGAAACAGATGAAATTTGGAGATTCATTAACCCAGAAGGTATTTTACATTCTTACATGGACAAAAAATGTTATTGAATCAATAGAATTTTTAATAGCACATTTAATCGCAGCAAATCTTGATTCAGTAATAATATTACTGAAACTAATATATCATATATTGTTTGAATAGGTCAAGTATTAGCTCCAATGATATTGCTATTGAATTAAAAATTTGCATCAATTAAATGTACTACTGGAGATCCTACTGATTCAATAGCGTTTTTTTTCCATGTGCTTTTCCAAGGCTCAAGTCTGAATTCTCAACGTATATATTTTACCGCTTTTATTTAAATAATATTCTTGTAGATAGTTGGTAAAAATAATACTAAAATAATTTCTAATCTTCAAGTAAGCAATACTGGATCTCCTTTTTCACTTAACTAGGTTGCACCTTTCGCACTTCAAATGAAATATGTGACTTAGCATTGAAGGAAAAAGAAATAAAGTTCCAGTGCAGCAGTTCTGGTTCGGTTAAAAAGAAAGTTTATTGTCATTTTTAAACAGGTGATGATTTCTGTTGAAACTCACTTATCATTCAGATATATGAGGACGTGGGAGTTAATGTATTAAATACAAGATCGGGCCATAAATATGAGCCTTATGCATCATTTTATACATAATAAATTACTAAATAAACTGAAGTTTTTTTTTTATAAAATCTTGTTAATCTTTTTGGTTCGAATATGGACTTTAATCAATGCCAGAAGCTTATGTAAAACCATGCATTGCTTTAGTTGACAAGTGAAATCAGCATATATTTTTCTCACTCAGTTATTAATTTTTGCATAGTAGTAATTAATTGGGAGATGTAATGCATACAAATGTTTCGCACAAACAGCAAATGTTCTTGCGTTTATCGTTCTCAGTCACTGGATAATTCTATGCAGCAAGTAGTTGACATATTGAGAAAGTTTCTCTTTAATGGTCGTTTCATTCGAATAAAGCTCAGACAGTTTATGTAACATTCTTTTGTGATTTTGTGATGCAAATAATTGCCTCACAGGTCGACATGAGTAAAGTGAAGCTCGATGTCATCAAGCCATGGATCACCACGAAGATCACGCAGATTCTGGGGATGGAAGACGACGTTGTGGTAGAATTTGTATATAATCAGCTCGAGGAGAAGGTAAGGAACGCATTGCACTTAATCGAAACGAAACTAGGCAATTCGATTAGAGATAGACTTAGCGGAATAACTCGAGAAAATCAGTAATGTCAGATGCGTTTTTCACTTGGCTTTTTCCCCTCATCATATAGGAAATCGATATATATGCATTATTTCAGCACGATGTTTTTTTTAGAAGTCGCAAGCAAGTCACTATCCAAACTCCGCACACGACAGTGCCGAGTTTGAGTAACGCAAAGCAATGAGGCAGAACATTCTCTCTTAGCTGTACTTGCCGCATTGTTTTCTCTTTTTTCTTTTTTATTATTTTTTTTCTCAATTTCCATAAGTTTCATCGTTCCCACGTATCCTCGTTTTCGATCGGTCCACATATCTCCCCTCTCTCTCTTTCCCACGTTCGAGCGTATCCACTTTCGACAAAAGAAAAAGAAAAAAAAAAAAGAAACGAAAAAGAGAAAAGAAAAGAGGAAAGAAAAAAAAAAGAAAAGAGAAACAAAAAAAAACTGATCTGTAGCTGATCCTGCAATAACGATAACCGTACAAATCGATTTTTATCACATCTGTTTGAATTCCCCCGTTAGTATAAGTAGAGACCGTTGGTGGGGCTCAACCCTATTGTCCAAATGGCATTCGGGTGTGCTTCTCTCTACATCCGATTGGCCGCCTTTCTATCATCCGTCAACCCTAGCGTCAGCTGGTGGCAGTCGGTATCTCAGCGTCACCTTAGAACCGCCGACAAATCTTCAGCTTCAGCAGCTACGGTGGTGGCAACACACTGTCGACATGCCGTCGTCGTGGGATTGGCTGCAGCGTCCTCACCGAGACCCGATACCTCCGTGTGCGTTCCTGCTTACCTGCCTCTCGCGTCTTTTGCCGCGAGCCTGCCCTGCAGGAGGAATGCTCCACGTTGCTGTCCGCTATCGACCGGTTACCCTGGCATCTCGTCGTCGGACACCATCGTGCCTCTTGGTCGTCGTACCCTCGCTACCTCGACGTGGAGGTGGTGAGCAGTCAGCGTGATGAGCACCACGTCGGAAGCTCGGCGGCAGCTTCCGCTTGCTCGGGGATGACAGCATCGGCACCGGTCGACTCATCCGAGGCGTCTCGCGTCTATTTCGGAAGGTCCACGAGCCACGCTCTCGGAGACACTCCCTCGAGGACACATTCTCGGGTCTCGCCGCGCGCTGAAGAGTGAAGCGGCCTCAGCCGGAAGGACCCCCCGGTAGTTACCGCCTCTGCGAAGCTTCGGTTCGCGACGGACCTCGATATTCTGGACATGCATACCGACACCATGTCGACGGCGTGTCGCGTCGACCGGCGTGAGATTCAGGCGAACACGGCGCCGGAGGTATCCCTACACGGTTTGACTCTTTGTCAATACCACAGGTTGGTGAAAAGGTGATCCTTTTATACCACATTATTTCTCCGACTTTCAGCCCACGGGAGCAGCTCACGCCACGGATACTTGATGTTACGCTTCCCTATCGTTTCAGCGTAATCAGAGACAGACAGGCAGAAAGAAAGAGACACACACATATATACATATATATATATATATATATACACACGTGTATGCCTTGGCAGTGTGAATATGTTGAATATAAGCCTCGCCTGAGAGAGGAGAGTGCGACGAGGTATAATCGAGGTGCATTTTGCGCCACCCGAGCGTTTTTTCATGTCGATGAATTTAATTGTCCTTTCTCTTCAGCATGTAAACCCCTTATAACGCAGGTACGGGAGGTGCGCAAGCGGCCTCGGAGGCGGCGGTGGTAAGGCATGCTTAGCGATAACAGAATAAATAAATCTGCTTTTTCGAGGGGGAAAAGCAGTTCGTAGCAAAATTGTATTTAGGGATACGAATACTGATTGTTCTTTGGTCGAGATTCCGAAATGGAACTTTAACGCAGTATTCTTTCTCTTTGTGATCTTTTTTGTTTGCTTTCTTACCGTGGACAGTCCGTTAGACGCACCGAAAAACTTACCTTCACGTGTCGCTATGCGCGGAGAATTAAATTCGCACGCTATGTGTTTTGCAGTTCCCCGATCCCCGAAAGATGCAGATCAACCTTACAGGCTTCCTGAACGGGAGAAATGCCCGTTCGTTCATGGGCGAACTGTGGGACCTCCTGGTCTCCGCTCAGGAAAGCGTCACGGGCATTCCTGAGGCTTTCTTGCAGCAAAAGAAAGATCAGATCAAGAAGCGTTTGGTAATTATCGATTTTCGTCTCTACGACGTGAATTAATGTATGAAGACTCGTACGTGTAATGTAATAAGATGTTTCGATAAAACTCTTATTTAAGGGGATGCCAAATTTGCAAATTTTTCTGGCAAAATTCTCTTCTATAAAGTTTTCTTCTATAAAAATCCTCTTTCTATAAAGTCTACGTTACATTGGCTGTATAACATTACAAATACTCTTACACAATGAAAGTACGCGCAAAAATGAATCGAAGCATTACTCAATATATGACGTAAACGATTAAAAATATCAACATTGATATTTTTAGCTGCCAGCGTAAACATTTACCTGTTGCGAAAAACCTGCAGCTGGTACATACCGAATGTGTCGATGCTGCAGTCGAGAAAATCTCGAAGAACATTATATATTTTCAATTAAATTCGGAGGTCTAAAAAGATACCAAAAGATTGCAAAATAGTTCTTATATATTTTAGTTAGATTTTCGGTTAGATATAATAAAACAGAGCAATGCATGCTCAGCGCATTTACATTTATGTCGCACTTATGTTTAAGTAAGATCTACATGCACAAAAAGATATAAAAAAATTAATGTAATCGTGTTAGTATTTATGTAACATAATATTTTGAGGATTTCCTTTATGTTATCGACGTTTATCAAGTTTGTCATCGTCTTTGGCATTCCTTTAATAAGTCAAAACTTGTTGGATATATGGATGGAGATTGTTAGAAAAACTAGTAATTTTCTGGCCTGGTAAATATTATAAAAGACTATTGAAACTTGAGATAAATTTGCTGTTAAATGCGACTATTCAGCTTTATAACATTTCGTGTGTCTTTCGAATAATTCATACGCGGATTTCCGACCGTGGTGAAATTTTGCCGCATTGTTGCCGTATCTCGTGAAGTACTTCAAAAGTAAAAGAACAATTGAATCGCTATATCTTGACATTCAGTGGGACATTCAATGTATCCAAATGGATCAGATCAATTGTATTTATATTTAGTTGTACTTGGTTACAAAAAAAAACCCCCGATATTTTGTACAAGAAGTAGGCTTACGTTATGTTGTAACATATTGAATTAGGAAGAGCAAGAGAAGCTTCAAGCATCGCTGGCGGAGAAGGAGAAGGAGAAGGAGCGCGAAAAAGAGAAAGATGACGCCGAGAATAAAGTGAAGAAGGACGAGAAAGATCGTGGCTCGTCGAAGGAGCGTAGGAGGGATCGAAGTCGAGATCGTGACCGAGAAAGGTATTGTCATTGGGACAATCATTTTTCACTTAGACGTAAAAACAATTTTCAACCTTGTGCCCGACCGTTAACCTAAACAGCACAAATTTCGAAAAGATGTTTTAAAGACATTCTATTTTTTTTTTTAGAACTCTTTAGGAAGTTCGTGTTGTCTGGGAAGTACTATGCCGTTACAATTATTATCATATATAAGATGAGGCAATGATTATTGCACTTTGAATATCTTCGAAAATAAAAGTATTTTATTAACGACCGGATGAAGGTGAAAGAAGTTTACATTTGCAGAAAGTGTTTGGATAAATGAGATAAATAAATATTTCTTCTGCTTTCATATTTCATAGATATTCAGGATGATAGATCATTGCTTCGTCCTGTATATTATAAGATTGTATATTGACTACTTAAAATAATAATAATGATGATGCAGTCAGTCCGCAATATATAGTTACATACAAACGCTTACATACAAACCTCTTATCACTTTACAGAAGCAAAAGGAGCAGATCACGGGATCGACACAGGGATCGCGATCGATCAAGCCGCAAGAGGAGGTCCGCTTCTAGATCGCCGAGCAAGAATTCACTGAAAGACAACGGGAAGGATATGCCAGAGGTTAAGATCGAACGGGAAGACTCACCACAACCGGAAAATGCAATACCTTTGATGCCAGTTAAAACGAAGCCGTAAGTAAATCGAATCTTGGTCATTACCGAGATCTGTTGACAGCTTTCTGAGAAAACGTAGACCTCGGTTCGAATGAAACATTGTCATTAAAACTCCTGGCTCCCTGGTCCTTGCTATCTTATTTGATGACGTTATAGGTGAAAAAAGCGCACGGCCAAAATTCTTGCGAGATATATCGAGATGAGAAAATGCGTCTATAAAAACACGATCGATTGAGATTAACATGACGCGCAACCTTCCTCCTATCTCGTGGTTTTGTCAAGTTATACAAGGCCATGCAGAACTATGCACAGGACTAACGGTGCAATAAACAAATGAAATCTTCATGAGACACACACCGAGCCTCGTATCCTGAATGCGCTTACGGCGACATTAGCTAACAATTGAATTCCTCGTTCCGCGTCCCTTTTATTCCACCTGAGCTCTAATGCGTTTCCGCGTGTGTCCGCAGGGAAGCAGCGGTCGCGATATCAAGATTACAGGCGAAATTGATGAGCATCGCCGATGGAAAGAAGAAGAACAACCGCACGCCGTCGCCGGAGTCGGTGGAGAAGTCTGCGAAGAAATCACGATCCAGATCGAAGTCGCCGGCGAGTCGTTCGAAGAAATCCAGATCCAAGTCGCCCAGCCGAGACTCGAAGGCGCGCCGGTCCCGATCGCCCGCCTCGAAGTCCAGACGGTCTCGCTCCAAGTCGAGGTCCCGAAGATCACACTCCAAGTCCAGAAGATCCAAGTCGCACTCACAGGACCGCGCCAAGTCCAGGCGCAGCAAGTCCAAGTCGCCGAGGTCGCGCTCGCGCTCCCGCTCGAAGAAGTCGCGTTCCAAGAGCGACGATCGCAGCAAGACGAGGAAATCGAGATCCGAGTCGAGCGACTCGAGATCCTCCAAGTCCCGCTCGAAGTCGCCGGACAAGCGGAAGGACAATGTCTCGAACCGGAAGCGCGACGGCAGCACGAGCAGCAGCTCGGAATCCGAGGAGGAGAAAGGCGCGAAGGACAAGAACGATTTCGAGATACGAAAGAAAAAGGACGGCGTGCAGGCCAAGCGATCGTATCGGAAGACCAACAAGGACGACAGCGGCAGCGACAGTGACTCCAGTCGCGAGAGGAAATCCGCTCCCAAGAGGAGGAGCCCGTCGCCGCGCAAAGGAGACCGGGGACGCTCCAAGGACAGGGGCAGGTCGCGGGACAGATCGCGGGACAGATCGTCGCGGGATAGATCGCGCGATAGATCGCGCGACCGCAACCGAAGGTAACGTTCGTAGATTCGTATTTCTCCGCCGAAATTGCCGTCTAACTCAACGAGGACGCGCCGTATCGCATCACGCTGCATGCACCGTGTGCACTTGTTGAAGCACGGAATTTCGACGGGAAGAAATCCGCGAGGAAACGTGACTCACGAGTAATTGCTCTCGTTCTGCGAGAACCGCCCGGAAGACGCGGTCTAAAAGTTAACACAGGTGGCTCTGTGTTGTTCGACTTATAAACTCTAATATTTGTATTTTTCAACGCAATTGTACGCGTGATTGCGCGCATTTTTCTCCCCCAGCAGATTTTACATACCGAATGCGCCAATGTTCCAATCAGGAACATTTCATTAGTACAAATCGTTTCGCACCTATTATTTACATAAGACTATTTCTTGTGGAAATTTGACAATTTTCCTTTAGCGAAAGTATCACGTGAGAAATTATCGTTCAGGCTGACTTGTCAACATTTAACATATTTTTGTAGCCAAACTTCGAAATAAAGTTCTGTCAAAGTAATATCAGTTTGAAATTGATCGGAAGAAAAAAAGAAGAAAAAACAAGAAATTATAGACTTATAAATTCGAATATTTGTATCTCTCTTCGTCAGGAGATCATTGGAGCGGGATCGCGACAGGAGACGCGAACGGGAGCGCGAGAGGGAGCGGGAGAGGGAGAGGATGGACCGGTACAGCGGCAGCCGCAGTATGCGGCCACCTTCGGTCCGCAGAGCGCCCAGCAGACGCAGGCAAGTGTTCTCCCGCGTTTTCTCCGGATATTTCCACGTCGCCAGTAGGAAACGAGAGATTGTCACGGAGAATTGTTTCTCGACAGTCCGCCGCGGAGGAGCCCGGCACGATACCGGCGCAGATCACCGAGTCCCGGCGACAGGCGGCGCAGAAGGTCTCTGGACCGCAGAAGACGATCGTCTGAGCGACGCGACCGGCGTCGGTCGCCCGATCGCCGTGACAGCCGACGTCGCTCGCCGGATGGACGGGACCGATCGAGCAGGTACGATAGATCTTCCTCTCGCGACAGATCGAGTAGGCGGGACCGTTCCAGAGACCGGCGGGACAAGGATCGTAGATCTAGATCGAAGAATCATAGATCGGGTTCCAAGGATCAGAGGTCGCCGGTGGATCGTACGAGGGACGGGAAACGGTCCCCCGATCGTGCGAAGGACGCCAAGGATAATAAGGCGAGAGACAAGAAAGCGGATGAGAAAGCTAAAAAACCGGCCGATACAGGATCGCGAAAAGAGTTGCGAAACGGCCGGTCTAAGTCGAGTAGCTCGGAAGGTAGCGAGAGTAGTTCCTCTAGCAATGAGGACGAGTCACTTAGGTGAGTGAAACATCGCTTTGAACACGGTACTTCGTTCTTACACGGGGTTCTCGCGGTCGGTGGATGATTAATAAAACAAAGAATCGACGGACGCGCTCGGTCTCGCCGACTAATCCGTTGCTCGTTGTGCGAGTGAATGAAGGCCCGGGGGCGTTTTTTATGGCGAGTGCGTTTCTTCTCGGTGTGTCGGCAGGAAATCGGCCGAACGTAAGACGTCGCAGGAGAAGCGAGAGCATACCGACGACCCCAAGAAGAAGGAGAAGGAGAAGGCGGTGAAGGAAGTGAAGGAGGAACTTGCCAAACGGCCGGAGAAGGAGCTCAAGAAGATAGAGCCTGTCGTTGTAAAGAAGCCGGAGCCCAGCGTCTCCCCCAAGAAGCTTCAAGCTGCTTCGCTTCCTGTTACAAGACATCGAGTGAGTTTGAAACTAACTTCGGACTGGTCAGTGCTCGTCAGTACGAGTGTAACCTTAAAAGTGCCAAATTACTGACTTCTTTCTGAAAAGTTCGCGACAGAATTACAAATGTGTTGACTTAATGAAAGTACACGCGAGAGCCAATTGGAGCGTCCCTCGATGTGTGACTGGAACGATGAAAAGTTTCCAAATTCACATCTCTAGCTGTAAATATTTACCCGATACGGATACTCGATACATCCTGCAGCTTTTACATTACCGGATGTTTCATATTTTTGTAGCTAAACTACGAGGTAAAATTCTGTCAAAGTAATATGAGCTTGAAATTGATCGAGAAAAGAATTATAATTGTGTTACCATTAAAGAATACAAATAATTGTGTGACCATTTGGTTGCTTAAGGCTCAGTTTATGGAAAGGTCGTTTTCGCTGAAGAAAATTGTTAGATTTTCCTAAAAAATAGCGGGCTTGTGAAGAAAGATAGTTTATATTCCACATATGTTTACATTTGCATATTGTTATAAACAGTCTTATAAAATTCTCATTTCTCTTGATTCTCCAGTTTTCGAAGAGCCTGTCGCGTACACCGTCGCCGTTCAAGAAGACCGAAGATATCGTGGCAGCAGCGGCTAAAATCAAACAAACGATCAAGTATGTTGCAAGTCGTTTACTTTATGTATAGTATGTATTTATGTATAGTATAATCTACTCTCAATAAACGCAATTGTTTTATTTTCAGGGAAGACGTTAAGGATGATTCGCCGAAGATCGGAGAAGCAGGTTTCCCTATTGGAGATGCTTTCCCCTTGAAGAAAGACGACAAATCCTTGAAGTCAACGAAATTAATAACAGAAGACAAGAAGTCTGCTCAGAAACCGTTGGAACCTGCATTATCCAAGAAACCCGTGGAAGTGGCTAAGAAAGCGAAAAGAGAAAAGCGCGACGGTTCCACGGACAGTGAAGACAGCGATGTCGAAGGTAAAATATATATTTCAATCGATCGATAACATGTGAGAAGTGTTAGAGCTCGGTTTTTTGGACGGTCCTTATTTATTTACAGACAAGAGAAAGTCGAGAAAGCTGGAAAAGCCAAGGAAATCCAGAAAAGGATCGACGGACGAAGATAAGTCTGATAAGAGCAAGGCGGAATCCAGTTCGGATTCCGACGATGACAGAAAACATTCGGACAAGAATAAAAAAACTAGAGAGATTGTTAGACCTGGTTAGTGTTTCGCAAATAATTGGCGCGTCTGTGATTTAAAATCGATGTGATTTGTGTTAATTTTCGTTACTCCCCAATAGATTCCTCGACGGACGATCGTAACAAAGATCGAAAGGACAGCAGAAAACGCGAAATTAGCGAGAACGATTCGCGAAAACGCTCGAAGAAGGAGACCGAAGAGGAAATGAAAAAATCAAAAAGACCGCGAAAAGACTCATCCTCGGGCGAGGAGGAGCAGAAAGCCGCCAAGAGGGGGAGGAGCGAAGATGATAGATCGAGATCTCGAAAGTCAAGGAAGGACTCGAGCTCCGACGAGGAGCCCAAGAAGACGAAGAAGAGACGGGATACTTCATCGGATGATGAGAAGTCTCGATCGCGAAAATCGAGGAAAGATTCGACGAGCGAGGACGAATCCAAATCAAAATCAAAGAAATCCAAGCGTGACTCCAGTTCTGAAGACGACGATGTCGCGGACAAGGACGCGAAGAAGAAGAGGAAGGTTGACGACAGTTCGGACGACGAGAAGGTGAAGAAGAAGCGTAAGAAAAAGGCGAAAACCAGCACCAGTGAGTCCGAGGTAATGACGGGACGCACATTTACACAAATTTATTAATCTCCCTCCCTCCCCCCCCCTTTTTTTCATACATTTCGTTCATGGAGTTCGTGCGGTATTTTCAGGAGAGCGAGATCGAGGAGAAGAAGAAGAAGAAGGAGAAGAAGCATAAGAAACATAAGAAGCATAAGAAGCACAGGAAGCACAAGAAGAAGAAGGTTGCCGATTCAGATGAGTCTGACGTAAGTGAAGGTAATACCGAGGAGCTGGAAAAGAAACTTCGGGAAAAAGCGCTAAAGTCGATGAAAAAGGGACACAGCATTGAACGAAGTGATTGAGACATTAATGTGTGACTTCCGAGGATGTGTGTCGGGAAATCGTACATTTGTATCGCGAGATACTCTCGTTGTGTGCTGCAGATACGAACTCTTATTTCGTATCGGTTGGATTGGATTGTTATTCTCTATGCATCACTCAATCCCTTCGTGACAAGGTCGAACGACACTCCTGGTGTTACGATAATTCCTTCTCGCACGCGCGGAGAACATTGCGACTTCACTTTTTTCTCTTTTCTTTTTTCTCTCTCTCTCTCTCTCCCTTTTAAGTTTACACTCTACTTGTCGGAATTACACGACAATTCATTATATCGTATCAGTAAACGGGCATAGTATGCTATTCATACCTGACATTGAAATCGAGATTTTACATTTCCATAGAGTCCGACGAGAATATAGAGTTGATGATGATACGATCCCTTTCGAAGTTCTTAGGTTCCTAAGTACGATTAAGTGGATTGAGGACTCGTATACACGACGATCTGTTTTATCGTTCATTTGTATAAAACTTGGTTCTCGGCCCAGTGTTTAAAGAATAATAAATAACGTAATGGATGATGATATTACAGCAACATTACACAAGCCGCAGAACTATCAAACATCTATCCACGCTCCCGATTGACACGATCATTTCTATTTTACAGTGAACTGCTAATTTCTTCTAGACTTCAGAGTCGCCATACCGAATTTGCATACGTGATGTAGCTTATTTAATAATTCACGTATATTCTCTAGTACTGAAAGGTAAAATACACAGCATTGAGAATTATAATACGTTTTTTTTATTTCTATATGTCTTACAGTGAACGACCTTTTCTTTATATATGTATATGTGTGTGTGTGTGTGTGTGTGTTTATGCCAAGGTTAGGAAGTAACACGTTATTTGAAGTAATGTTATTTTTCGGGGAGTAATGGCGTTATTTTTCTTGGTTAGTAACGATCACAGTAACATTATTATATTTAATATTAATTATGCTGTAGTGTAGCGATAACGAACATAATCGTTACGTTCGCATATGTAAAATATACTTTCATAAGATGGACGGTACCGAAACGGGAAAAGGGAAACCTCAAAACTAAGGGAGTGAAAAAAGTAACGAAAGTTGTGACGATTCGTTATTTCTTGTGTCACGGAACAGATGAGTTATTTTTCAAAATAAGCAACACTATTTACTTTTGAAAGAGCAACTTTTCTAATCACGGATCTTCTGTAGAAACCTATATCAATTAATTAATTATTAAAGAGTCAACAATAAATTTGTAAAATTCATTATATATGAAATTAATTAAAGATATTAAAATCACACACATTCGAAGATTTCCAGACCCGCCGACGTACGTTGCAAATTTGACGGAGGTAGTAGCGTTTCATTAATCATACGAGGAATCGACAAGGACACCGGCTGTTTCTACATTCATAAACGAGAGATTCTGACGACGATGATCGATGGCCGAGAAGCATACCTCCAGTAAACTATCATAACATTGCTCTTGGTTCGATCTCCTCATTCGACTACTGCCGTTCCGATTCTCCTGAAATTAATATAGAGCNCCCCCCCCCCAGAATCCCTCAAATAAGAATCGTATGTAATATAATACGTTTGACTTTGTAATCAAAATTGGCGTCTGATTTGTCACTGAAAATTTTACCTACGAAGAGTGTCTATATATCGGATATAAATCTTGAAAGATTAATATATCACATTTCGAATCTAAGAAACATCAATGCATATGTAATGCATGAATTATTTTTCTCCTTTGTTGATCCTTTTGTGTAGAACTTTCCGAGGATATATATGTATGAGGGGTGTTCTGTGAGAAAACCGACAAATTTCCAGAATGGTTCTCGAGATAATTCTAAATAAAACGGTTCGGATACATCATAGGTTAATTCGATTCCAATTATCGAGATACCGAGAACTTGATTAATATCGTAACAAGCGGAAAAACCACCGGACATTTATAATTTTAGATAAATATTATTTTCATCAGTAATACATCAGTGATATAATGATATTATTTGTATAAAACGTCCGCTTTCATTAACGTCAATTACATTTCTTATATCTCGATAAGCGAGCCGAATCGATCTGTGATATACATGAAATATACTTCTTTGCTTAGGATGACCTTTAGAACACATTCTAGAACTTTGTCGATTTTCTCGCGAAACCACCCTGTGTGCGATCCACGTCTTATTCAGAGATACGCTGTATCATAAAAGAAAAAAGAAAAAAAGATAAAAGTTGGTCAATTCGTTAGAAATTAATCTCTTCCATTTTCATCCTCCACCTTCGAGCAACGATTTGTCCCCGAGATAGAGATCTTTTTATTCGACAATCAGCTCCTCGTCACTTCCGATCGAACAAGGTGTCGAACTAATCGGCGAGAAATCGGCAGACGTCCACCACCCCCCGCCCACGCTCGCAGATAAGCGGCATCGCTGCGGTAACCTGCGGAAGACTGCGGCGACGGCGGCGATTGACGACGGCGACGTTTTCAGGACGGCTAGTAGCATAGGTAGTGACATGGACAGGAGGAGAGCATAGCCGCCGTGTGATGAGGTCATCGTATGGTTTTTTAGCCGCGCCGCGCGCCGGCAGTCGCGACGCGGAGCGCCCGAACGCCGGCCGCTCGCACGCGTTCCCGTTGCCAGAGCGCGCGCGCGCGCGCGCACACAGCCGAGCGCGAGAGAGGAGCGGTGCTGCGAGCGAGCGAGCGAGAGAGAGCGAGCCCGGCCACATGCGACGTGCCACGTGCCACGGCGTTCCAGCGCCCCGCGAGTGCTCCCAGGACGATCGCGCGCCTGTTCGTCCTTCGTTAACAGGTGGTGAAATCGCTCCTATCTTCCGATACCTTCTCGATTCCCGCCTCCGTCTCTCGTCACCGTCGGCTCGTCTCGCACCCTCGCGTCCCGAAGAGATGCCGCGTCCTTAGATCGGGGGTCCTCTGCCAGGAGAGCGCTGATCGGCCGCTGATCTGTCGTCCAGTCGACCGCGATCTCGACGTCGTGAAATCGGCGGCCCAGCTCGGGGACACACCAAGCGGCGAGATTCGATTTTGGAGATTTCGAGATGCCCGACCTCGCTCACCGCGCGAGAGGTGTTCGATCCCGGCGGGGCCCGGTGTTTTCCCGCGGGGATAAATCCGCGAAAAGTCGCGCCTGTGGATTGCTGCTACGCAGTTCGCCGCCTTCGAAGGCACCGCACGAAATGCACGCGCGCTTCTTTCACCCGATACCGTGAAGCCCAGGCGGGACGCACATATGGATGTCAGCCGTCGTGGACTCGCGATCCACCGGTCAGTCGTGAATCTTTTCATTCAACGTGCACTCGTGAAAAGTGAAAATTGCCCGAAACTCGGAAACACACACACACACACATACACACACACATATATATATATATATGCGGAGGTTTTCGTTTCTCACGAGTTTTTCAGGAGCCGATCGTGAATATTTTCCTCTCTAGCGTGGACTCGTGAAAAGTGGGAATTCTTTCACGTAAAAGCACACATAAGAAAATCGTTCGCTTTTCGCGAATTCGCAACCATAGGAAAAGATTCACGATCGTTTTCCCCAGAAGGAGGCGGGGGGAGGGGGGGGGGAGTAAACGTGAATCTTTCTTCTGTAGTTTAAAATTCGTGTGAAAGGTGGTGTGCGTAAATTTTGCAAACATCTGCGAGTTCGAAAATGTTGACTTTTCACGAGTTTCGCGCCGGAGGAAAGGATTCGCGAGCGATGTCTGTCGCGATGCGTACCTCCGCATCGACTCGCCGTTTGGATCATCTCGCCTGTCATGTTGCGCGTTCACGGTTCGAAAAGCGCCGCGGCCGCTTGCGCACGAGTATGCGAGAATAAAAGCGCAATTTGGGAAGGAAAGAGACAGGGTCAAATTGTACATCCCGACGTAGGAGAGAGTATCGACGAGGTCGCTCGATTCGATCGATCGATGGAGTTGATATAATTTATTCACGAGTCCCCCTCCTCGATCTTTCGGTAATCCAGCGAGCTATTCCCGCGCGCGAGACGAGCCACGTTTCAGGTGTATTTCCACGTCCCGGCTGCCCCGCACGCTCAAGATATTTTTCACCTCGCACGGCGAGAGACCGCCCTTTCTACCATTGCATACGATTATTTTCACAATGCGCGCCGCGGTGCATGCGGGACAATCGTCACGCATGATCGTCACACGTATTCGCCGCGTGTCGAAAACCGGCAATCGAAACCGGTCATTTCGATCGCGCGTTTCCGCGCTCGCGTATCGAGAACCGCGCGAAAAGCGAGACCGCTCTCCCCCTCTCTCTCTCTCTCTCTTTCTCTCCGTTTGTTCATGAAAATCACCGAAGGATTTTTCCGCGCCTTATCTGTAACACTAATTTCGCTTATCGCTTATCTACGACATTGGCATTACAGCTGATAATATTGATAATACCGAAACCAGTCACTCCCGATAAATCGTGATTTTGTTGTTCGATCTCCTTGATTTTCTTCTGTTTTTTTTTTCTTTTTTTATCCAATCGCCGTGGAACACCGACTGATTTGATATCGCCGACACGATTCGAAATCGGAGGCTTTCCGCGACGGGTTTCAGTCGGAATCGCGACGGGTTCTCGACCACCGGCTGTCTCGGAGAGGGTACGAACATTCGACTCGAATAAAGCGCCGTTTCCGGCATCGTATCGGCCGGTAGAGCGGATTTGAAGTTCGGTCAGCCGCGTGCGCGCGCGTTCTTAAACCTGTTTTGTACTCCCCCTCAGACATCGGATACATCGACGGGTTTTCGAGCAGTCGACGTTCGCGCGTTTCTTCCTGAAAGTTCTCTCGCGCCGAGATCGCGGCTTCTCTTCTCGAAGGGAGTCCTCCCCTCCCCCCC